AATTACAATTCTACTAATCTCTCGAACTCCATTATTTTAAGCATAAGGAGCTTTGATCTTGAAAGGAGATTTTATAAATTATGAGGGATACGATCTTAGATCATTATTCAAATCAAAAGGTAGTTGTTTTTTAGATGACCTTAAGTTAAAGTGAGAATGATTATTCATTAACAATATTACAACTATAATTCCAATCAATATCTTATATTTTTTAATTATGTCTTTATCAGATTCTACTCTTCATCTTAACTTCTTAAGCTAGTTACATTTTAATTTTTCAAGTTTTATTCCATTTCAGTATTTTATAAGGAATAATAAATGATGTCATATAAACTGTTATTAATAAGTATTAATAGAGATTTCATTTTAAATGATACTACATTACATAGCCACTCTACAAAATGTTTAACAGAGAGCAGTGATCTTAACGAAGAGCTAAAGAATTGCGAAATAATTATTTAAAAAAGTTACTTAACACACAACTGAATTCTTTTGAATAGTCGAAGATATAATGATAGGTTTACTAAATTAATTATTATTTATAAAAAGGATTATTTATAAGTGATAATAGTTATTTTTTTTGTTCATAAATAATAAACAATAGTTAAAAATTACTTATTATTTTATTTAATAACTAGAATAAGAAAAATATATGTCATATTTTAAAAAATACTAGAATTAATCTAATCTATAAAAAAGTTAAAACAAATAGATTGAATGATTTTTGCTCACCCCATTAAAATTAAGGAGATTAACTTAAGCTCTATGTGAACCCATACCTATGTCCAAAGGAGCAAATATGATACAAGTTTATATAATAAACATTAAACCAACAACATTCTCTATAAATATTACTTATAGCAGCTTGCTTTCTTTCAAATTTAATAGAAATATTTTTGAATTCATCAACATGTCAAATTTACAGTTAACTTTGCACATTAAGAAATACCCTAGATTTCTGAAGAACAAAACTAATGAATTTTTTATTATACATATATCAATTAAAATTCATCCTATCATATGCTGATGAAATTTGCATCATAATAAATAATAGTCCCCTTCAAATTACACAAAAATATTTTGAATAATTCAAAGCAAAACTATTGAACAAATTGAAGAAGGTTATTTATAAGAAATAGTTCTTTTCTAAAAGAAAAAATATAAGAAAAATAATGACTTACCCAGGAATACATTGAAAAATCATTAATTGGTTATAAGAGTAAGATTTTATTCAGTTATATATTCTAAACAAATATTTATACTCTAAAATAAGGATTAACAAAAAATGTAGTTATTAATCATATTACTCAAATTAAGTATAAATTAATTTATTCATATACAAATTACTTATTCTATATGATTAAAGAAAAAAGCTATGTATATATTGAAATGAATTCTCAATAG